TATTCGAAAATCGTTCCCTATTAGTCTTTAGAGGCAAATTAACGAACTTCCGTGCTCACAATGCTGGACCAAAAGAAGAGCACAATACCATAAATAAAACGGACTCAGCAAAGTCGCAACCCTCATGAAGAAATGAACGGATGTGGTTCTCAGACAACAAGTCCTGAGTACAAGTGGCGGCGGAGGGAGCCGAAAGCCCAAAATATAGATAAAAGGGAGCAGAGCGCAATGCTCCACTCGGAAGCTGATCTCCTAGACTCCACAATGAGAAAGAAGGCACCACCGAAGACGAGCCTGGGTGCAGCGAGGCTTCCGCCTTCTCGACGGTCTCTAGCCCCACCCCAAGGTTTGTCATACACTAGTAGTCTACAGCAGCAGCCCAGCAATCGAGTTGGGTGATGGCAACCCCAGCGGTCCCAAACCTACCCCACCCCCCCGCGCGCGTGAAACCAACATCATACGATGGTCCCTACAGTCCTTCCTGCAAAAGTTCGCCACCACACCGTTGGCCCAACAGGGAGACAACGCGTGTGCGGTTAACGTCCTGTTCATTATAGTTGCAAGTGCATTTTTTGGCCACTCCTTTTAATTCAGGGTTAGGTTTCCTCGATTGCATCACCGCTACAACAACAAAAGGTTTTATTAATACTCTCTCGTGTTAAAAACAGGTTTCTCGCGGATCAAACTCCTGTAGGCAATCGACAGAACGCTTCATATCCTGACCCTAGCTCACTTTGTGAGCGTTGAAAAGCGAAACAAAAGTGGCAACAACCGGGCGGGCCGGAGGAATCCAAATCCGTTGCTAAGGAACGAATCATCGGCGAACAACATCAATTTCGGAACATAAAACAACAAGTCACAACAATGCTAATCATCCCCCCAAACGGTACTGAAATGTCCCGCAACAACACAAATACACTCCGAAACGATACGAACTACGAGACAAATACAGGAGCAATAATACGAACACACAGTGCGGATCCAATCAGGCCGGACCAGTCCATTTACTGAAATTCTATTTGGATGTGAATTCCCCCAATGAAAGCAAACGCTGGGCGCCGTCCAGAACAAATATTTTTTGAGCCGTCTTCTCCTCAAAAATGGTGATAGACTGGTTTGCGTGCCCGTGTCCTCGTTGATGACACGTTTAAAAATGAGCTGGCCTCGAACTGGAAAGCCAAGGACACCCCCTACAGTCTCGCCATCTGGCGCGGTTTGCTCGCCTTGAAAAACACGTGTTCTGTGAAACTATGTACCTGAAACACAACTTCTAGCGGATGCGTATTGCTCTAGGGGTACTTGAGTCTCTCAGAATAGACTCTCCTATGACCATTCCGGTAGGCGGTGGAAAACATTTTGAAACTTCTACCACAAACTCTGTTGCAATCGTTGCTCAAAACGTTACCCAGTGCAAGCCATACAAGACTCGGGGTACGTCATTCTCTCGAAATAGACTCTTCTACAGTATGACCTTTCTGGTCACGGGTGAAAAACTTCGTGAATTTTCTACCACAAACTCTGGTGCAATCGTTGCCCAATACCTTGGCGAGCATATCGCAAGCCATGCAAGTTAGACCAATACTCGCATGAGGCCTCCAACGTTCGGCCTTCTGTGGCGGTTTTGCGTCGTCACACGCTGTACACGCATCACATTTCAAAGAATGGCATATCGCCTTACCACTATCATGACGTAGCGATCTACTCGCCCTTGTTTTTTTTTTCCGCTTCCGGAGACTTCGCAAACTGCTAATGGTGCTGGAAGCTCGACACGTCCACAGCTTACGATTCGACAGGCTCAGCAGTGCCTGTTGTGGCTGGTGGGGCTGCCGGTGCGGGTGGGGCAGGTGGAGCGGGAGTGCCTGTTGTGGGAGGGGGCTGTGTTTCACTGGGCGCCCTGTGTTTTTTGTACGCCCGTGCTACCAGAAAGCCGATTGCGAGGATGATGCACAATGCCAAAGCTGCCGACAGGCCAATGATAATGTAGTCCTTGGAGTCCCACGAGTTGGAGCTCGAACTCTGGTCGATGCTTCTGTTCTCGCGGTTGCAACGAAAAGTGCGCGAAAAAGTCGAAATTGGAGTTAGCTGTGCGTACAAGTGAACAACGTGGGGGTGTGCCCACGTATAGGATTAGGGCCAAGGCAAACGAAGGACGCCGCACATTATTCTTCAAGAAGAAAGCAGCTAAAGAAGGAGGGACATAGGGCTAGTATTCTTGTATTCTTCAACAGGCGAAGGCCAGAGTCCTGATAAACTTGCCCGGTCAAGTCGCCGTCGGTGCCACTGACTTGTTGCACCCCGTCGATATCGCAGATTTGGCACTTAAACTCCCCGTTGTGGACAATGTCCGACTGATCGTACACAAACTCGCACTCGTAAGGCTCATTGGCGAAGCAGTATATGTCGTCGAACTCGCCCATGGTCACCGTCGTCTCTCCCTGGCACGAATGGAATTAAATATGAAATAGGATGATATTAAACACGAGGCAGAACTTTCGATGTTTGATCGATAACGATGAGTAATGCTAGTCGCTCATGGCCCCCCAGCGACCGCCGATTTTTTCGCCCTCGTCGAAGGGGGTCTCAAACATTCCCTGCACATCCCAATCAGGAGAACAAAAGTATTACATCGAATAATCCATATCACAACCCGAGGGTTTTGCCTCTAGCTCAAGAACACTTGCAATACATCGTAAGCAAACCAAGTACGAAGCCATCGAGGCCAGCGAAACAAACTCACATCAGCCACGCCCGTGTTCGTCACGACGATCGCAGCTCCCTGCTCAGTGTCGGTGACGTACGCCTCAGCGGGGAGGGTGTTGAGGTTGAACTGGACGTAGTTCATCTGCAACGCAGACAAAAGGAGGCGTTTGGGAAGCAGCGGAGAGCAGTGATTGATCAAGATGCCGAACATGTGGACATCCTCACACAACAAGTGGAATCGTCGACAAGAATGCACTACTAGACGACAAGAACACGCGTCACTCACGAGAAGCTGGTGTTCTCCGGAATCGCTGGAAGACGAGAACAGCACCGCCGTGCCAACGCTGCTCTCGAAAGTGCAGTCGGTAATTGTTGCCGAAGTGTCGAAGATGGCCACGGAACCGCCCGCTCCAGTAGTGCTAACTACGGTGCACCCGCTGAACGTCGAGTCTGAGAGGTCAAGGTCCCTCGGGCACGGGTCTTGGTCAGGGCGGTTGACCAGCAGCGCCCCGCCGTAGTGTGCCTGAGAATGTTGCATTTGTCGGGGAGACGGTGAAGCTGAAGCGAATCGAAGCCGTGCTCGGTGTGAAGATATACGCACGAAATGGTGCTCACCAAGTAACAACCGTTAGGACGGCGGTGGAAGGCATGCAGGCCACGCGAAAATAAGATATTCCAACATTCCCACTTCGAGACAATACGTTAGTCCTGGCTTGGTTGTGCAGCAGGAGTTTGAAGTGGATGGGAAGCAGGAGTGTTTTCTGATACAGGGGGATAGCGCTGACCAGACTGAAGTATAAGGAGCATTTGACTGAACGTAGGCAAGATGTCTGCACAGTCGTGCAGCAGCCCCTCCCGATCACGAAAGGGCACAAGGGGAACAACGCTCAAAAACAAGGCAGATCAGATAAGACTATTTACCCTCAGTTATTCTTTTACGACAAAAACCTCCGTCGACTCACGGCGTCGCTGGAAGTGTCCGCTCCCGTGAAGGTGCAGTTGGAGATTACCGCGCCGCAGCACTCGATGGCAGCTCCGCCGTACTCGGCCACAGACGTCGAGAACGTAGTGCCAGTGACCGTGAGCTCAACGTTGGTGCCTACGTAAACGTCGCCTCCTGCGCCGTCCGCGTCAACGCCCGTCCCAACTTCGTTGCCCCTGAAAAGGGAGTCCGCGATGGTGAGGGTTTCGGAGCCGATGGCGTACACTGCACCGCCCCTCTCGCTCGCGAGGTTTGATGTGAAGGTGGAGTCTGAGATGGAAATCGTTCCCGCAGAGTCGGAGTAAACCTGGCACAGCAGGCGGCACATTTAGAATAGAAAGAGAGACGTGCATGTTCAGCACAGCATTACGACACTGTGATCGCGTGTTGTTGTTCCACGCGAGAACCAGTAGGTAGGGATGAGTGCTGGATCTCGTGTGTTTGATGTGGCCCCATGTTCCTGGAATCTCCCCTAAAAGACAAGACAAGACTAAACAGCGTACCCGAGGGATTAGAGTTGGCGATGGCGGTCCTTCAGCTTGAGTATCATTGTATGCAACAGCGGTCGAAGCGACTGTGCGGCGATTTTCGGTAGAATCTGTAGTGCCATCGGACAGAGAGGTCGCGAGTATGAACATCCAGAATTAATCGCCGGTGGAAGTGGTGGGGCAGAAAATGGCATAATCTTTGTAGTTAAGCTGAGGCTTATCCTATGTAGAAAGAAAACAGCCAGCGTAGACAAACCCAGTGGTGGGATAACCACGATAACATCCACTACGTGGTTTCCTCGTCGTCCACAGGAGCCACAACACTTCCGGCCGAACATCAGTCGTGATCCTTAGCGGGTACCGCCAATCGCGAACAGACGCCTGCTGCAACGTGACGTTTTGAGCCTAAAGTTCTGTGTGCGTTGTTCGTAGGTGGTACACGTGTAACTCATTGACGTCTAGGGACATTCACCCACGAGTCCACAAGCTGACCCCAACCTGCAGTAGACTACATCATACCACGAAGGAAACGACAGGTGAACTCTACAACATTACATGTTGTACCCCAAAATATCCGGTGTGGAGAGCTTCGCGTGGAAGAGGCCGAAGTTGGTGTGTGTTGTATCGTCCAAGTGTGTCAAACTTGCACTACAGTATGATGAGGAGGAGCGTTTTAGACGATAACAGTCGAACCAAGTCGAAGATTTAACAAAATTTGTAAAAGAATACGAACTACTGTACAGTACTGTAGCATCAATTGAGGCACCACTCTGAAGGGTTACTGCTGTGTTGATAGGTGCCGAAATGGCTGGGATGCGTCGATTCTTGTTCGTAAAGTATCGAGGAAGAACAGTAAGTAGTGAACCATGCCCGCCGCGTGAGACTTGAAGGTTTGTGTGTCGTTCCGTATGCACACGTTCCATGCAGACCAACTCCAATTAATATTGGTGGATGTACTATTGAGAATATGCAAGCAACGAAACGCTGGATTATTAGACTAGTCTATTCGTGGATACAGCACAGAGTAGATAGATATGGATTCGTTTGTGTACGGTACAATATTCTCATGGTAGTCTATGTACACACTTCAAGGGTAAACTCCCGTGCAGACTGCGGTGGAAAAAATACAGATAGGAGACACCTCTGTTTCACGTGTGGTGTGTGCTCCAGAACAACCTACATGCGATTGCCCTTTCACTGGAAGACGGCAGCGCGGTGTCTGTCGATCAAACTGCTGGATATTTTTCGAACTCCCGTTACTGCTGGGTACCAAGATCATCTGCATTTTGACTCGAAGCAAAATGCTGATCTCCGGAGATGACACGACACAGGCAAGCCACGGGGTAAAATATAATAGGGTACCGCAGGTTGCCTCAGCTACCACATCCGCGGGAACGGCTCGAGTACTCCAGACGAAGAGGATGCCAAAAGAAAATCATACGTTGTCGGAATGCTATGGACGGGACCATTCCTTCGCCGCCTTTTGCAGCACAGCAGACACTGCCGTGTATTAGCTGCAGCAATCGAGCTTTGAAAATCGGTTCAGTCCAGAGGTACTGCTGTACTGCTGAACTGTAGGTGTGGTATCGTGTGCAATCTCCGGACGTACCGCAAAGCTATTGTGCAAGAGGGGACGCCAAGGAAAAGGCAGGACGAGGATATCTGCTGCTGGCGTGTGTGATGCCACTTACCACACCGCCCCTCGAGAGAAATGCTCCGGTCGGGTAAAGTTCGAACGTGCAGCCTTCCAGCGAAAGCGTTCCGGCGTTCCAGACAGCGCGGTTCCCATCCGTTGTTTCCGTGGCGAACGTGATGCCGTCGAGCTTCAGCGTGCCCTCGTTCATGAACAGGCTGCCCCCCGCGTCCGTGTCCGTGCTGCCGGCGAAGAGTGGGCCCAGGGTGATGGTGTAGGCGCCGCTGATGGTGACATCCTGGCTAGCAGCGACCGTGATGTGTGTGTCGCACGTAAAGCTGCCCTCGAGCTCTGCCGTCCCTGTGCCGGAGATGGCCTCAACCGCGGTGATGAGGGCGGGGCAGGTGGTGACAGCCGAGGCTTGCCTAGCGGCAAGCCCGAGGAAGAAGAGGGCGAGGCCCGCGCTCTTACGGGAGAGCTCCATTTCGTTGGTGGGGTGGGCCGAAGCGTTCCTGCCTATTGCCCTGCCAGCACAAGAGAGGAGAGGGTGGGAGAAACCGCGTGAGTGGGAAAATGAATATATTCGTTTGTGGGTTCCACGCATCCAGAACGTTCCGCCCGCCGCGGAAAAATCGTACGGTCAACGAAGCGACTCTGCGCTTTTTCTTTTTTTTTTCTTAATTTGTTTTTCTTAAAAGGGCGCGGCGGGCATCGCAGTACTTCCTCTTCAAAAAAACAGGAAACGCCTGGAAACGCCTGCATATCTCGGTTTTCCAAAGTCTAACTCCAGTACGAAACTACCATCGTAAATTAACCGTCCGCAGCGGTCGCTTGTGTACAATGTTAGTAGCTGAGGTTGTACCCCTTGCGATACACTACGGACTAGCGGTCCGCGATTTTCCAAACGATCCTTTTCTATCATCGAGTTCGGTGAGCTACAAGCTAGATTTTTGAAGCTGCTGTGCGGTCCAATTTTGAAACGCTTCAAGCACCTTTGCCTAAAGGCTGGACATGCATATACATGACGACCCTAGGCATTCAAATCGACAATGGCGACCAGCTGGATATGTGAGGGAAGAGCTGCGCTGAAGTTCGCGGCCCCACATACACTCACATAGGCGGTGATTCGTGTTGACCGTGTGCTTGAAGCGTTTCAAAATTGGACCGCACAGCAGCTTCAAAAATCTAGCTTGTAGCTCACTGAACTCGATGATAGAAGGATCGTTTGGAAAATCGCGGACCGCTAGTCTGTAGTGTATCGCAAGGGGTACAACCTCAGCTACTAACATTGTACACAAGCGACCGCTGCGGGCGGTTAATTTACGATGGTAGTTTCGTACTGGAGTTAGAGTTTGGAAAACCGAGATATATATGCAGGCGTTTCCTGGATTTTTCAGAGGAGGTACTGCGATCCCCCCCGCGCACAACGAATCCATCTCTATCTGAGAAAAGAGTCTAAGATAGATTAGCAATGAATCCATAGCGTCAGAGGGAGGCTACCTGTACTTCCACGATTTCCCGAGCAGCACATCTTACTGCTGCACGGCTAAAAAAAAAAAATGGCGGAGGAACAACCTGTCTGTATCGGTTTACACACAGAAGAGCAACAACACGATTGGCGTACATCCATCCAAGTCTGAAGGCAAAGTACCGCAGGAGGGGAGGGTAGAGAGAAGCTCTTCTGTGTGACCACGGGTTGGAGTAAACGGCACTAGTGCTGTGAGCGCTGATTTGAAGTGAAGGCTAAAAAAAAAAAAAAAGGCTTGCAGCAAGCAGTAGACCATTCATTTCGATATTGTAGCTATCTAGGGAACCAAGATTTGTCAAATTCCGTCCCCACTGTAGGCTTCAAAATTATCGTCGCAACCCCCAGAACCTCCCTGAAAAAAATTAAAGTTCGTATCTACGCGGTGCAACCGCGCTGGAGATCAAGCACGAGAACGCGCCCAAAACGTGGCCAATCGCCGCCAAAATTTGAGGGAAGACGAACTGACTGAGCAACAGAGAGCATATTTGCGCAAGAATTCAAGTTGGGTAGTGTAGAGGATCGAGAGGTAGGTACGGCGGATGAAGTTGAAAACTTGCGTTTGCATACTACAGGCATCGTGCTTATGCCCTGCGACACTATTCGCAACGCCGAGCATTGATCACGTTAGCTGCTGATCTCGTGGTTTTACAGCATACATGCGGAATTAATTGTACTGCAAGACGAACCACAGGTGGATGGAGTACTCTTGAATGGCGTCAGCTGTTCAACTGAAGTGGCTGTTGGGGTGTTGCACCGCACACGCTTGTGCCTGTTGACTCGGGACCCTCACCCAGCAGCACACCTCTCCTGACTCCCGAAGAAACAAATGTAAGGCGGATGGAGTAGCGACAGTAACACGGCAGCTACTGTAATGTAACAGTGAGTTTGGCCACTACCAACGTTCTGCAATCTGATTTCGCACGCAGGGAACGGCCGACCTATCTACTCATCGAAGTATTATTTCTCGAAATATGAAGCACTTCTTTAGCATTGGGTGTGTCGAAAACGCGAGGAAATACTTACACACGTACACTGCACACAACCCCGGGGCCTCCGAGTTGCCCAAACCTATCAACACCACGCCCGAACAGAATGATGCAACACAGAAGACACAGGCCCAACGCGCCCTCGTCCCGATAGGTTTCGGGAAGATTGCCGATGAAACGCAAAGAAGAAAATACCATGCCAATAAACAACCACGGACACCCAGCGAGGCTGGAAAAAAGAAGCCCCCCCCCCCCCCCCGGTGTGTGCCATCGGGGTTTGGGTTTTCGTCGCTTGGCAACGACGTTGTAAAACAAGCCCCCCACTCGGTGTTTGCCATCGGGATTGGGTTTTCGTCGCTTGGCAACGACGTTGTAAAAGAAGCCAATTCACTTTCGTGAACTCGGCAACCAGGTTAACGTTTTTTTTTTTTTTTACCTCGTTTTTTTTTTTTTGCGGTAACCATAATGGTGGTCGAGTAGATCATGTTGTGCGGGGTGGAGAAACCTCACTCCGCGCAACGGGGGATGATCGCACCACGTTGTGTTAAAAATGGTCAAGCTTCCTCGAGGCAGTTTACACAGTGCTTACAACTGTCTCTGGAAGTGAAAGCACCAGAAAATAAATTAAGTCATACGTAGCTGTCATCCGTACGCAAGGAAGTAAGCACAAGATGCCGAACGCCCTTAGCAGGATGCAGCTCACCCTTCATGCGACTCGCCGAATACCTCACGGCGCTTCGCGCTTGGTGATGTGAGAGCCTGGTCCGGTGAGAACCCGGCGTGCTCCGTCCCGGCTTTGTAGGGATGCGAGGTCAATGGTCAAACGACTACGGCATGCACGACTATGAGTACCCCCCCCCCCCCCCC